AATAATAATAATAATAATAATAATAATAGGAAGAATAACAATAATACCAATATTAATAATACCAATATTAATAATAATAATAATAATAATAATAATAATACCAATAATAATAAATATAATAATAATACAAATAATACCAATAATAATAATAATAATAATAATAGGAAGAATAACAATAATACCAATATTAATAATACCAATAATAATAATAATAATAATAATAATAATAATAATAATAATAATAATAATAATAATAATAATAATATGTTGTTGTTGTAGTAATAATAATAATAATAACAAATAATTATAACAATAACCAATAATAATAAATAATAATATTATTGTGTTGTTGTTGTTGTTATAATAAATAAAATTTATGTGCAGTTCATAGCGCAAGTTTTGGACCTAGGAAATGTCATTAAATTGCAGCCCAAACCATCCCAGATCCCGCAATGCTTCCCTCTGGGCATGCACCATGTCTGGTTGGGAGACTTCTTTGGGGCTTCTCCACATCATAACTCTCCTGGATGTGGGAAAGACGGTGTATGTATTAATATTGTGATATAATCTACTTAATAATTCTCAGAGGGCTGAATTTTATCAAGAACGAGCACACGAGCTGGAGCTGACGGTTTAAAGGCGCAGTGCAGATACGTCAGTGTTATCAGTGCTTCATGTGTCATAAAGCAGCTCAGTCTAGATAACGCTCCCCATGAGGGAGAGTACAGCTGTTATTAGCCGAGCAGTGTGTCATGAAGAGTGTGTTAGTGTGTGTGTATTTATTTTTGTGACACAAATCTATATAATGACACAGGTATCACAAAAAGGAGGTGAACTACGAGGACATTGCTGACGTCTTTATTTCTCAAAAGCTTCTAAATCACACGGAATGAGTTTATTTCAGAGAGTAAAGCTGCACACAGTCTCCTGTGATGGTTGGGTTTAGGGGTAGGGTGAGGTGAGGGCAATACAATATATAGTTTGGACAGTATAAAATGAATGGAAATCTATGTAATGTACCCACTTTTCACAAAAACAAACAAATGTGTGTGTGTGTGTGTGTGTGTGTGTGTGTGTGTGTGTGTGTGTGTGTGTGTACGTGTTTTTGTGACATATCAGGACACAAATCTGTATAATGACATGGGTATGACACAGGTATTACAAAAAGGAGGTGAAATATGAGGACATTGGTGACGTCCTCATTTCTCAAAATGCGTATAAATCACACTGAATGAGTTTAATCAGAGAGTAAAGCTGCACACAGTCTCCTGTGGTGGTTGGGTTTAAGGGTGGGGTGGGGTGAGGGCAATATAATATACGGTTTGGACAGTATAAAATGAATGGAAACCTATGTAATGTCCCCACTTTTCACAAAAACAAACATGTGTGTGTGTGTGTGTGTGTGTGTGTGTGTGTGTGTGTGTGTGTGTGTGTGTGTGTGTGTGTGTTTATAGAGTGCTTTGAGATAGAGAGAGAGACAGAGATTTTTGATTTTTACAAAAACTTTATTACATTAAAACAGACACAATATTACTATAAATTAGTCAATTAAATTTACATCAAAGAAAAACTTAACATTTCAAATAAGTGTAAAAACAACATTGTTTTCATCTACGCAACACAAAGCATTATTATAGCACCAAATATTTTCGAAAGTTTCCAAATCATCCATTTGTATATAGTAACTAAAATCAGTTAAGACTCTTGCTTGTATCATGCTTGAAAAAACAGTTACTACATTATGTTGTGTGCTATTTTCAATTTTCCTCCTTCTGCTCACATACACAGCCATTTTTGCTTGTCCTAGTATAAAG